GGGCTCCCCCTATAGCCCAGTGACTCCTCAAGGCTTCCCCCCTACACCAGAGAGTACAGCTTGTCAAAGTCCTCCTCCCCCTGCTCCTACACCATATGACCTGTCAAAGTGCCTCACAGGACCGTCCGAGCACTGCTGTCACCCTACGCCCACACCCCAATGCCCTGTCACCTGCACCCCCCGTCCCCCCGGGTACCTGAAGTAGTAGACATCGCTCTTGCCCGCACTCAGCCCGGACTTCCTAATGACCTCCTCCTTCTTCCAGCCTGTTGGTAAAGCTGGGCACTCCATCCTACTCTTCTCCATCCAGCAGCGGCAGCGCTCTGTGTACTCCTACACCAGCATGTCCCACTCCTGCCTCTCCCACTGTCTCAGCGCCCCCTAGCAACGCTGTACCCTTCCGCGCTCTAGGTCCGGCTCGCCGGCGGAGGGATACGCGCTCACACAGCCACAGAGGGGAGCTGTGAGGTGATGCGGTCGGCCGGAGTGCCGCTTACGTCATACAGCGAGAGTACGTCACAGTGGGCCGGAGTTCCAGGCAGAGCTCCCCGGCTGGCTGTGAGTGTGAACTTCAACTTCCGTGATCCTACGCAGGCGGTGTCGCCCGGGGGACGAGCATGGGAGTTGTAGTCCTCCGAGCTGTCACTAGAACTGTCGTCATGGAGTGGTCACAGGAAGTACAGGGACTGGCCTCACTCAATGCTGGCTGTCATCCTGAGCCCCCTGTTTCAGAATCGCCTGAGTCATTGGCATGGTGCAAGTTAGATCAGAACTCCTGATCAGCAGGCTAATTAGGGTCTCTGAAAGAACTGAAGCCACAGGATCAGCATGAAGGCCAGGCACCGTTCCTTCTCACAAGGATAAGTCAGCGGCAATTCAGTCGCCATTACTAGTTGTGCAAGTTAGACTGATTCGCGCCTTTGCTTGATGCACCATTTTTTTTAACCAAATCGGAAGAAAGCGCAGCTCACCGCACGTCAACGCATCATGATCCACCGTCAGTAACGAAGGCTCCGCCCACCCAGGGGCATCACCCATTCACAGGGATTGATCGAGCAGAGGGAGTCGCAGAGTGCCCCGACAGGGCGGTGACATCACAGCGATCGAACCAGTGTCTGCTTCCTCCAGCCCCGTAACGGAAGGTCGATACCTCCATACGGACCTGGAGGGTAGACGGTGCAGGAGTTTGTGCGTCGCACCTGTGACGCAGCGAACACAGTTGCAATGCTCTTCAGGCTTCAACATTTAATAAATGCACATTTTTAATTTAAACTTTATTGGTGCATTTATTAAAAGGTGGACTGTGCCTTTAAGAGTGCATACAGCGACAGCAGGGCGGTCAGTGTGTAAGTGCGGGTTTCCTTAAAGGAGTGCAGAAGGACTACAACCTCCATCAGGATTTTATTGATGTCTGTGTGCCCTTTGTCCACCTTTCAGACCCATATATAGGGTCTAACATGAAACATGGTCACAGCCCCTCCCCTTTAAATGGCCCCTCCCCTCTACTTGCAAGGGAAGTCTCCCATAGGCTCCTGTATTATTATTTTTTTTTAATTGAGTGTGGCTCCGCCCATGTCATCCATTCACAGAGAGACTACAAGTCCAACGCGGAAGAGGGACTTGTAGAGCTCAATGGAGCACCACTGCCCAAGAAGTGAGAGCAGCAGTGAGCGGTCTTTATTACAGGAGGGGGCGGAGACAAGACCAGTCACCCTGCACAAGGAGAGAGAGCAGCAGTGGCCGGTCTTTATTTCAGGAGGGGCGGAGATATGACCAGTGACCCTGCACAAGGAGAGAGAGCAGCAGTGACTGGTCTTTATTACAGGAGGGGGCGGAGACAAGACCAGTCACCCTGCACAAGGAGAGAGAGCAGCAGTGACCGCTCTTTATTTCAGGAAGCTCCAAGTTTCTGCACAGACCTGGAAGAAATACACACAGCTCGCCCAGATTTCAGGAAGAATACACATGACTTCCTGTATGAGGACAATATTTGTTTATTCCGGAGTTCAGGTGGGGGGTTGGGTGGCAGTAAAAATGCAGATCATCCGCTTGTTATTACTGCCCCTCGGCCATCCACATGAACGAGGCCTGAGGCTCCTTTGTTCAGCAGGTGACCCTCATCCAGCAGTGAATTGGTTAATGACACGCACGGCATGGAAGTGGATTTGTTACATTGTAGTCACTGAGCCTCCACTAGAGAGAGAAGAATCTCCCATGTGACCTCGGTATGACTCACACATGTCCACGCGCTAAGGTCCCATTCACACCGTGGCGTTCCCGGGAAGGTGCACGTGTTCATGTACGTTTGTGTGCTGCCTTTGCTGTGCATCCCCATTGAGTTTCATGAGGACCTGAACGCGCGAGCAACGCAGCAAAAAAGCACATGTGGTAGATTCTGTGACATGCGTTTCATGTTTTTTGCTTCCCTGGCCGCGTTTGGGGTGCCATTGCACATAAATAGCGACGCAAGCGCGTTTTGCATTTTGGCACGTCTTTGTAAAAGCACGCGTTTATGTGTGCGTTTGGCGCGCGTTCACAGAATGCAAAGGTGTTAATGTGAGCTAAGACCCCGTTCACACTTGGCATGAACTTGTGGCGCGCATGACCATTTATTCGCATTTTCTACGCGTCAACCTGTTCCTTTTGGGCTGCCGCACGCGTAACAAATGCTAAAAAGACGCTCATGCTGCAGTTTGAGCTGTGAGCTTCATGCATTGTTTAACCACGCATTTGGCGGTTTACCATATTATCCCTAATATTACCCCCCATAAACACTGGTGACCTATAGTACAGATCTAATGGAAAGCTGGGGAGGAGAGCGGCGAAACTTCCGTTCACCGATCTCCTCCCTGTTCTATGGGACCGGGAGTGACGCGTATTGCATCACTTCGGGTCCCTGAGCTGCCAGTGCTGGGCTCATGAAGCCATTAAAGGAGAACTATGAGGTGAGTGCTTTTCACTCGCCTCATAGTTCTAGCCGACCTGTGACAATGAGAGTGGCATGTGCGGCTATAACAAATATGTGTCTTTTTAGCATTTGTTACGCGTGCGGCAGCCCATTAAAAGGAACGGGCTGACGCGTGGAAAATGTGAAGTGCTGGGCTCCTGAAGCCCAGCAATAAGCTATTGAAGAGCAATCTGCACTTCAATAGCTTATTTAGAGTGTAAAGGTGACACTTTTTGACCCCCAGCACCACCTTCAAGAGGACCTGTCACCACCAAAACGCCATCACACAGGGGGGGCTTGTAATCCCCCCTATGTGATAGCAATTAGGGTAAAGTTTTAAAAAAACACAGTTGTAAAAATAATATTAAATAAAATAAATGGAAAAATCATTAAAAAAAATTAAAGGCCCCTGCCAGCACGCGCGTCTTGACGTAAACACGCGTCGGGTGCGCTTACATATTAAAACGACCATTGCGCTACACATGTTGGGTATAGCCGCACATGCCAGAGTGAGAACAATAAGTCTAAATTTTTGGGTTTGATAATAAGTTGCGCTAATATCGTGCAGCATAAAAATTGGCAACTGCCACCATTTTATTCTACAGGGTCTTGGCTTTCAGAAAATATATAATATTTGGGGGTTTTAAGTCATTTTCAGGCCTAAAATGTGGATCATAACATGTAAAACAAAAAATTAAAAAAAGGCCTTGGTCCTTAAGGGGTTAATATATTTTCATGGTTGAATGTAGTGTGATATAATAGCTTATAATGGCCATTAGATGGAGCTGATGAGCATAGGAAATCAGTATTTCTTTTTGCTTCACTTCCTGTCTGGTAAAATGTTGTCCTGAAAACAGGAAGTGAGGAACAATAGGAAAGCCTGACAAGGTTTATAACCCTTCCCTACAAAACTAAGATAAAATGTTTTGGCTATAGACACACCTTAGGACTTTCTATAACATGGGGCAGGTGTTCTGTAATCTGAAGTGGAGCACTGGGTGGGGGTTGGTTGAGTTCACTGGATTTATGGCAGGATCAACAAGGCACCTATTGAACAGATGTAACAAAATGCTGCCAATGGTTTATTGGACAGACCAAAAGGGAGCAAGTAAGAGAAGTTCATTGTGAGGCTTTACATACACTGTAATGCACTGGCACCGCTGCCGGCTGAATACTATGGCAGAATTCATATGGGTCACATTTAATTAGAAGTCACCGAAGCCGAGCAGCCGGCAGGAGGAAATACCAGACAATGAATTCTCGGAGACATCCCGGCCCAATGCCAGAAGTGCCAATCAGGCCCCGGGTCATGATACTGTTACTCCTACGGAGACTGAATGGCCAAATGTCCTCCAAAGTAAAACAAATTCAGTACCTAAAAATGGAACATCCAACTAATAATATCTCCTCTACATTAAGACATACATCTCAGGGTTTAGACATGTAGAACTATTTTAGAATATGCTTGTACAGCTCAGTGACCTAAAACCTTTCCAGTAAGATATCAGCGGGTAAGGTTTCAGAGTGAGGCTTGCCTCCTGGAGGAAGGTCATGTGATCTCTAGAGTAGCCTCAGAACGATGCTTGGAAGAATCAATTATATGTTGTGGATGTCTAGTTATAGAGAAATATATATATATATCTCTCATATATTATTATCATTATTATTTCTTTTATATTCTGACGACGGCCGCTGTAAAAAAAAGAAAATAAGAAAGGGCACCTCCCTGAAATGAGACGGGAACCTCCCTGAAATAAGGTTTTGCAGGTTGGGATGTCTGCCCACTCCTCTGTTTCTTTCCATAGCTCCAGAGATGTTCTTCTGCTTACTGCCAATGCTCCCCGCAGTCCTATTCATTCCAAAGCTGGCCAGGGCAGAACGATGAAGACCTCTGGAAATCAATGGATGATTACTAGGGGTAAGCTTGGTTTAAATCCGAACCGAAGCTCATCTAAACCTGGAAAGAGGCCGACAGTGCCAACCCAATCAGCTATAGCCCAGGCATTCCCCACCCTACAGCTGCACATAAGGTGGTGACATCATTGACCACATGGCCAGGGCCGGATTTCTTCTCTCTGCTGCCCCAATGCCAGGTTCCTCAATGCTCCCCCCTGTATGCATGCTGCATACAAGTGATCTCGGTGAAGCGGAGCTCGGGAAACACGGCGGGGCGTTTGCCGGCCCGGAGAAGCGATCTGGCAACACCAGAGACGCCGGAATCGCTTCTATTGTAAAGTCGACAGTCGGCTTTACAAATGTAAACAGAGTCTGTTTAAATGGGCCCGGTGCCAGTGACGTGTTATGGACGTCACTGGTCACTAAGGGGTTGAAGTGTCAGTCCAGCGAAAACCTTACTTTGGTTGCTCTGTATGAAAGGGGAAGACTAAAGACGGCCGTACACCGTAAATGTAGCCCTGCGGGGGTGGATGAGAGAAATCACTCCATTCCGCATCAACACTAAACAGCATGAATGGAGGAATCTCCCCTGATGGCTAATGTACACAGCCAGCTCCTGTGACGGAAGCCATTGAAACATTGACTATTGTGGTGCAGCGGTGTCACAAGGGGGGTACAGCCCGCACCCGGGTGACACCATTGCAGCGGTGACAGCAAAATGACTGACAGTCATTTTGCTGTCACATCCTCTAAAAAGTCAGGCACTCGGTCATGGACTGAGAGCCCGACAGTGTCAGGAGAGGGGAGGGGACCCTGCGGCATGCCTTACCCTGCCGGGTGAACATCCTCTCCTCTTTCTGCCGGCGTCCATCACCAAGATGGCCGCAGGCAGGCGTCAATCAGGTGGCCGCGCATGTGCGATGACGTCATCGCGCACGCACGAGGTGATGTCACGGCGGGGTGTCACCCGGTCTGGGAACCGGGTGACACCCGGCCTCGGGACACCCCTGCCTGGGTGGTGATGGCGGGGTCACCCACAGATCCATTTTCTGCGACTCCGCAGGAAACGTGTGAAATGTTCTTTGGTCCCCATTTTTGAAGATATCGCATTACTTCCTGTGCCTGTCATTAGGAGTACAGGTCTTTGACAGAGAGTAAGACGGAAACTGTTCAACAGAGGCACCAAGGGGTCTATTTATAAATAATTCACTGGCCATCCATTGGCCCTGTAAATCCTTCAAACATTCATTCTGTGCGAATAGACGCAGAAACAAA